CACGCCATATCCTCTCCTACCCTGTCATCATTGCAAAAGTCAGTTCTTATGCTGGCCAAGACTTACTACAGGTGCCCATGCCACGCCATGTCCTCTCTTACCCTGTCATCATTGCAAGAGTCAGTTCTTATGCTGGCCAGGACTTACTACAGGTGCCCATGCCACTCCATGTCCTCTCCTACCCTGTCATCAATCTCGGGGACAAACAGGACAGGAGGCATAAGAAGGGCTGTGGATAAGGGGGTATCACCAGTCCTCCTGTATGGGGCCCAGGCCAGCAGGGGGGCCCAGGCAGCTGGGTGAATTGAATGTGTGCAGGGAGGGTCGTCGGTAAGGTGGGGGGCAATTACTGGAACTGATCCCCTGTGTGGCTCTCTCTGTAGCAGCTGAAAGCCAGCATCTTCTCCTCTCCCTCCCAATGGCTTTCAGCTGCTGCAGAGAGAGCTGTACAGGGGATCGGTTGCAGTAATTACTCCCCCCTGGTGCATCCATCACACTCCCTGTGCATTATAAATTTTCCCCTGCTGCCCAGGCCCTCCTTTGTGCCCCCACCCTTGCAGTGCGGCCGACTTCCCTCTTCTCCTTCCCACCAGCAGCTGCAAGCACACAATAGGATCCTTCAGGATGGAGAGTGGGGGAAGGGTCCAGTAAATGTTTCTCATTTACCAACCCCTACCTTTCCTGAATGAGCGCACAACGAGTGATCAATACCCATCACCAGGGGCGGACTGACCATTTGGAAACTCGGGTGCTGTTTGAGGGCCCGCGGTCAGTAGGGGGTCCCATGAGATGCCCCTGGTACCTTTTTCATAGGCTTTTTTGAGTTTGGGCAAGGACACAGGGGACCCATAATCCCCTATTGCCCGGGGGCCCCATGAGTTGTCAGTCCTCCCCTGCCCATCACCCACTGTGTTCATTAAAACTGGAACATTGTAAACTTTTTTTTTTTGGGGAGGTTCCTATCAAGTTGGCTGTATGGGGTCCCATGGTTTCTAACAGCAGCCCTGGGTGTAAGGGACAGCCCTCTCTTCAGTGCGGCCTCTACCAGGTACGTGACAATTGGGTATTTTTATATCAAATCTAGCCTTAGATGCCTTATGTTGTAACACTGCTAACGCATTAAAAAGTCATATTGGTAGCATTTAGCAATTCAGTGACCCAGATGGGTTAGCAGAAAATATACTCGCTCTTCTGAAGGCAGTGCATAATTCCAAATGTTCTGAGATGGGAAAGAAGGACAGCTTTTAACATCCTGACCACATCCCGAATCACACAGACCACTCAGAATTAAAGCATGAGGAATGTCATACTAACCCAGTGGTGCTGTTCTTTTACCGCTTCTTTTCCTTTATGTTAGTACATGACAATATAAATGCAATGATAGGGAATTTGGAATAAAATGGGAAAAAAGTGCAATATAACCATGCTGGCAGGTAAACCGAAAACTCATCTATGTAGTCCACTACATCGAACCAAAGCAGGAAAAAGGAATTCGGTTACAATTCGGTTATATTTGGCTTTCTCATAGAAAGAACAAATTCATTTATATCAAATTTGGTTTAGCTTAGTTTTCTTTGGGACCTTTTATATCTAATTTGTTTTATATTCAAATATTTTTTATTGAAAGATTTTAACAAACATATAAGGATATACGAGCATTAGCATAGGAAGGTTCACAGTTGGGAGGTACAGTGTAAGGAGAGAAGAAGAGGAGGGATCCCCACCAGTTGGCTGGGGAACCTGTTTATTTATGTTACATTTACATGAGAAGTATACTCAGTGTGTTGTGAACCGTATTGGTAAAGTAGTATGGTGTAGATAAGGGGGGGGGGGGGGTGGGGGGTGGGAGGGGTAGAGAAAGAGGGGAGGCACCAGTTCGATAAAGAAAGATCATACTGTGGCGTCTAATTTGTTTTAAAACAAACTGGTTACATAGTGTGCGTGTTAAATAGTGTTTTTTCAGCAAATGTGTGGCGTATGTTGCATAAGTTGTGTTAAAAGTACCAGTCCAGTAAGCACCACGGAAAAACAGTGGATGGTGTATTTCAATGAATGCGGATTGATTTGGTCAGTTAGGGGTTTGTTTACTAAGGCTAGGTTTACATCTGTGCAGTTTGAGTTTGATCCTTATCTGATGTGCTTTTTGCGGTGTGTTTTGTGACATGCTTTTGCTGCGTTTTTAATGCTTTTTGCATTTTTTTCCAACTTGTTGCTAGGCAGATTAAACCGCATCAAAAATGCATCAAAAATGCACTACATGCTTTTCTGAAGCATCTCTATTGAAGTCTATATAACCAAAAATGCAAAGGTTTGCATTTAAAAAAGTCCATGACCCTTTCCAAAATGCGCACCGGGTGAATACGCAGAGATGTGAACCTGTCCCATAGGAAATCATGTTCAATGGACGGTACTGCGTTTCTGCAAAACGCAACAGAAAACGCATAGATGTGAACCAAGTCTAAAGCTCGTTCACTCAGAATCTGGAGCAGCTGCGCACGGCAGCCAATCAGCTTCTAACATCAGCTTGTTCAATTAAGCTTTAGCAATAAAACCTGGAAGCTGATTCGCTTCTATACAGAAGTGCACGAGTGAACTAGATTTAGTAAATAAACCCCTTAGGTCCTTTCACAAGGGCGTTCTGTTTCTTTTCTTCAGTTCAGTCATGTTTTTTCAAAGAAAAAGCGGGTGAGTTTACATCTGTTTTTTCATCCGTTTACATCCGTTTTTTCAACTGTTTTTGTTCATCCGTTTACAACCATTTACATTGGTTTACATCCATTTTTTCAGCTGTTTTTGTTCATCCGTTTTTCATCCGTTTGCATCCATTTACATTGGTTTACATCCATTTTTTATCCGTTTAGATCCATTTAGATCTGTTTACATCTATTTTCATTCGTTTACATAAGTTTTTGGTCCGTTTACATCCGTTGACATCCGTTTCCCATCCGTTCCTGGGTTTTTTTGCAGAGGAAAAATATGGTTTTCCTCCGTTCAAAAAAAATGGATGTTAACGGATGCGGACATTAATGGATGTAAAAAGATGTTCATCCGTTCATAGAAATACATGGGGGTCCATTTTTCATCCGTAAAAGGACAGATAATAAAACGAACATACGGAACGCCCGTGTGAAAGGGGCCCTAGTGTTTTATACAGACAGTGAATGATTACCCGATGAATGCTCAGTGAATGTATTGTTAATATGCGGTGAATGACACAACACCCACTTTATAAATATACCCTTATATAGTGATAATTCATACCAAGCTTCATTATTATGTTAGTCAGAAGACTAGTTGTTCCTTCTATCTAAAAGTTTTCCAACCGCTACAGAACATGGAATCTGCCATTGTTAACTTGGTTTTAATAGGTCAGACAGTGGTGCACCTGGGGTATGGCATGTGCCTAGGGTGCCACTTGAAGGGAGCACCACAAAGGGGATGTGACAGAGGGGGACTACTTGAGTGTGCTATAGCACCCTCATAAAATCTGTTACCTCCCACATCAGCTTACCAGGTCGAAGCACCCTTATTTTATTACAAAATCTCCAATTTATCAAAGTCCCCTATTTACTGGATCTGTCTTTGTCTTTGTCTGCACCATGAAAATGCTTGATGCCGATCCAAGGTAAGTGGCAGCATTAGGAGGGGGGATGTTTGCATTTGTCCAGACCTGCTCTGCCTCCCACACTCTGCGATACTATAAATGATGTACTATTTAAAATGTACGACACTAATGTGAAGGAGCTATGAGGTCACAGATGGGTGAAGGTTTTTGGGGCTCTTAGGACTCTGATGTGAGGGGAGCTTTGAAGACACTGATATATGTGGTCTTTGATGTTAAGGGGACTGTGAGAACTCTGATGTGATGGAACATTAATGCAAGGGAAAACTTGGATGTGAAGTGAGTTCCTGACATGAGAGGGGGGACTCTGATGTGTAGGAGGATCCTAATGTAAAAGACTCCTGGTGTAAAGGGAGCTTTGAGGTCAGTGATTTAGGAGGGGGGTCTAAGAATGCTGATGTGAAGACTCTTATATGAGGAGAGTTCCTAATATGAAGGGGGCTCCTAATGTGAAAACTGGACACTGATGTAAAATAGGGGCTCCTGACATAAAAGGAGGACTCTCCATCAGGAGTCTCCTGATGTGAAAGAAGGTACTCTGATGTATAAGTTCAGACTACAGAGATAGGAAACCAGCCAAAGTCTGAAGCGTCTGCAGTATCACTCAGTTCCAGGGGCGGACTGACAACTCATGGGGCCCCTGGGCAATAGGGGATCATGGGGCCCCTGTGTCCTTGCCCAAACTCAAAAAAGCCTATGAAAAGGCACCAGGGGCATCTCATGGGGCCCCCTACTGACCCCGGGCCCTCGGGCAGTGCCCGAGTTTCCAAATGGTCAGTCCACCCCTGCCCAGTTCAGAGGTGGATTAGACTGTTAATTAATGAGGTTAACAAGTTTGATATACATTGTTAAGTTGACATTTTGGTAAAGCAATCTAAAATGTGGGTGGCAGAAGTTTGGACAAGGACACAATTTTCAGTAAACATGCCCTTGCTATCTGCCTATTACTGATAGAGTTACTGACCTGGAACAAGCATTCCAGCACTCTTGTGTCCAGCTGTCAGGTGCCATCAGTGAACCAGTCCAGGCTCTGGAGAAATCCTACCCAGAGTCCTGGACCGGCAGCAGGCTCAGCCTCTCACCGAATTACTGAAAGCCTGAGCCAGCAGCTCCCACTCACTCCACAGCACGGTGCTCCTATATCGATGGAGGGGCAGAACAGAGAGCGGTCTTTGGTCGCTAAGTTCTCGGTCTTAGAAGCAGCAGAGGACAGATGCAGCATCTACCCAAGTGAGTATGAATGTTTGTTAATTTTATATCCTGACTTCTCCTTTAAGGATGACACCTCTATAGAATCCACATTTAAAAATGTATCAGCAGTGATGGTTCCTGTATTTTATCCTGGCATGATGACTGATGACGAGTAGCTAGTGAATGTGATTGAGCCAGGGGCGGACTGACCATTTGGAAACTCGGGCACTGCCCGAGGGCCCGGGGTCAGTAGGGGGCCCCATGAGATGCCCCTGGTACCTTTTTCATAGGCTTTTTTGAGTTTGGGCAAGGACACAGGGGCCCCATGATCCCCTATTGCCCGGGGGCCCCATGATTTGTCAGTCCGCCCCTGGACTGAATCCATTCATTCCTACAGAGAGTCCATTGAGGAGCCAGAGATACCATTGTTTTGTTGTCATTGCTCCTCTGGTGTATTTTAAATAGATAAATTCAGACTAGGGAAGGAGGCGGTTCAGCTCTTTGTGGTTCCTCGCCTTTCATGATAGAACTAGAGATGGGGGTTAATTTCACACATTGGGTTTACAAACAGCAGGTATAACCCAGTAGATGGATTTAACCCTTAACTGCTTTTTACAAAACAAAGGATAAAATGGATAAAATTAACTTCACATTTATATTGTATATGGTTTGGATCAGGGGCGGACTGACCATTTGGAAACTCGGGAACTGCCTGAGGGCCCGGAGTCAGTAGGGGGCCCCATGAGATGCCCCTGGTACCTTTTTAAATAGGATTTTTTGAGTTTGGGCAAGGACACAGGGGCCCCATGATCCCCTATTGCCCGGGGGCCCCATGAGTTGTCAGTCCGCCCCTGGATTGAGCTATGCCAAACCTCAGAAATGCCAGAACACAAACATTCTGAAACCAAACAAATGAACCTGGCCCACCTAAAATGTTAACTGTTGAAGGTTGTTAAAGTACTGTATATGTAAAGCCAAAACTTTTAAAAAATTATTTGTAGGGAATGGATAAAACCTCTGTCAACATTCTGTATTGTGTTGGGGAGATATCCTTACACTGCCTATCCTGAACTGTAAACCGAAATTAAGAGAAAATCTCTACAAAGTGAGGCGAATTGCCCTTCTAGACAATTGTCACCGGAACAGATGCTTCATTGGAAGATGTACCTTCACACCACGTCTTGTTCTGGTGACAAGTTTGGATGTCCCCTCACTTTCTTTTTGGAGACAATGGTCCTCAGGACAAAAAGAAAGGGTGAATCTCTCCAGCAATAAAAAACTGACATGTTTTCTTTCCAGGCTCAATAAAGAACTTTTGCCTATACAGAATAGCAGAATTAATGAGTTCTGAAAGACTCACCAGTATACACAGTATCGTTGTAGAGGACCTCGGGAGAGATAGTCATCTGATAGCTGTGGTTTGATGATGTGTTGTTCGGAAAGTCACACTCAGCTGCGTATCCTGTAGTGATGACTCCGATGAGTAGGAGAAGAGCAACACATCCTTTAGGAGACATTGTGGTATGGTCCTTTCTTCTGTGGAGTTCACTTGTGCACCTCTGTCTTCTCGCACACCTTTATATCCTGTGAGGGCAATATGATGTACTTTCCCACTTCCTTTTATTTATTTACGCAAGGAAGATTTCTTTATGAGTTACACAATAAAACTATTCCTGTTTTTACTGAAACTAATTTGGCAGCCATTTATTAATTGCAACATACATATAATTTTTGACTCACCCATAAGGAAAACATTGGGTATTCATGTATAAAGTTGTTTTTACGTCTATTAAAAAATTAGTAACCTATAACTTATTTCACTTGCAGCATGACTGATCATTGAAGTAGATGTTAAAACCAGTTTGATGGGTTTCACTTTACCCTAATAATATATCTATGTTGCTATGTGACGTCTTTGGAAAAGTAAGAAATTATAAAATAGTTTAAATTTGTATCTATAAACTCATCAATGGCTCATTCTGAAAGGAAGTCATTATTAAATAGGTTTTACATTTATTACAAGAGACCCCATTGAGGAAGACCAAGGGGATATACCCTTTCAGTTCCACTTAATAGTAGATCCAAGTGGCCCTGGGATAGGGTGGATTCAGGGCTTTTTTTTTTTTTTTTTTTTTTTGTTTAGATTCTTAAATTATATCTGGAAAGTCCTATACCTACAAGTCTCTGCTCCTACGTAATGTTTGCTAGGCGGCCCAGTAGGCATTGCAAAAGTATCTCAGCTAGACTTTACTTCTTTCTAGCATGCTTGAAACAACCTCATTTCATTTCTTCAGACATTTATTATTTATCCCATTGGTGGATATACCTTCCAAAGTACCCCACTCAACCTTTTGAAAAGCAAAGGCCACTTAAGTGATTTGGTAACTGGTTGCGGGCGATAATGAAATTATATGGTTCAGAATTTCAATTTTTTTATTTTTGAACAGCATAATGAACATTTTTCTCCCACAGCTGCTGAATGCTGGAGGGAGGGAAAGGAGGAGAAGCCAGCTTTTAGCAGTTTGGGGAGTAAAATGGAGGGGATCAGTTCCTGTATATGCTGCCACCACCGCCCCTCCTGTCCGAGTGTAACACAGAATGTGACAGGAAGGCCTCACAGGCTCCCTGGAGCATGGGGCCAGGTTGCCATTGCAACCGCTAATGCTAAACCAGTGGTTGGAGGCAGTGGTGTATTTAGGTTTTGGGCTGCCCTAGGCAACACAAAAATTGGCGCCTCCCCCCCCCCCACAAAGAAAGAGCCTGACATTGACCAAGAACACCCCTGCCCTCCACCCGAGCCTTCCACTACCACTGCCCCCCATACACCAGCTACTATCCCCCATGATGAGAGAAAGACACTCACCTTCACAGCTCCAAACATCCCCAGGAACAAGAGTTGGGCTCCGCATACACTGTCATGAAACCCACAGCATCTCTCAGAACCCACCAGGTCCCCATGTCGTGTGTCCCTTCTTCCATCCCTTCTTCCAATGGGCAGTGCTGCCCCCCCCAAAAAAAATGCCACCATAGGCAAATGCCTTGTGTGCCTTGTGGTAAATACACCCATGGTTGGAGGGTGTGGTAAACCCACCTGCCCCTCAAAACCTCAAATGTATCCCTTACTGTCCTGAGCCCCCAATAAAGCTGATCTCACACTGATGTGCTGTTTACCTGCACTGCACCTGCGGCTTTCCTGTGGGTTAGCTGTGCTTTGCTATAGACTTCTAATATATCTTTCAGGTGTGGTGCATGTTCTGAAACTGCAGAACAAGCACCACAGGGTGAGGTAAAAACCATCCACCCCCCCAAACTGCAATTGTAAACAATCCCTTACTGTCCTGAGCCCCCAATACTACAACGAAAACTCCTGGGGTTCTCTCTGTGGCTGCATAGGCTTTCTCTGGGCACTCTGGTTTCATCCCATGCTCAAAAGACATGCTGGATGGTTAATTGGCTTCTGTCTAAATTGGCCCTAGTATGGGCATGTATGAATGTGAGTTAGGGACCTTAGATTGTGAGCTCCCTGAGGGTTAGGGACCGATGTGAATGTACAATATATACCGTATTTTCAGGCGTATAAGACGACTGGGCGTATAAGACGACCCCTACTTTTCCTGTTAAAATGTAGTGTTTGGGCTATACTCGCCAATATAAGACTACCCCTCTTCCAATGCACACCAGTGGGAAGAATCGTGCCCCATCATTGGTGTCAGTGGGAGGAATAGTGCCCCATCATTGGTATTAGTGGGAGGAATAGTGCCCCATCATTGGTATTAGTGGGAGGAATAGTGCCCCATCATTGGTGTCAGAGCGACGAATCGTGCCCCATCACTGGTGTCAGTGGGAGGAATAGTGTCCCAACATTGGTGTCAGTGGGAGGAATAGTGTCCCAACATTGGTGTCAGTGGGAGGAATAGTGTCCCAACATTGGTGTCAGTGGGAGGAATAGCGCCCCATCATTGGTGTCAGTGGGAGGAATCGTGCCCCATCATTGGTATTAGTGGTAGGAATAGTGCCCCATCATTAGTATCAGTAGGGGGAATAGTGCCCCATCTTTGGTGTCAGTGGGAGGAATCGTGCCCCATCATTGCTGTCAGTGGGAGGAATAGTGTCCCAACATTGGTGTCAGTGGGAGGAATAGTGTCCCAACATTGGTATCAGTGGGAGGAATAGTGTCCCAACATTGGTGTCAGTGGGAGGAATAGTGTCCCATCATTGGTGTCAGTGGGAGGAATAGTGCCCCATCATTGGTGTCAGTGGGAGGAATAGTGCCCCATCATTGGTGTCAGTGGGAGGGATAGTGTCCCAACATTGGTGTCAGTGGGAGGAATAGTATGCCATCATTGGTGTCAGTGGGGGGTGGAATAGTGCCCCATCATTGGTGTCAGTGGGAGGAATAGTGTCCCAACATTGGTGTCAGTGGGGAGAATAGTGTCCCAACATTGGTGTCAGTGGAAGGAATAGTGTCCCAACATTGGTGTCAGTGGGAGGAATAGTATTCCATCATTGGTGTCAGTGGGGGTGGAATAGTGCCCCATCATTGGTGTCAGTGTGGGGGGGGGGGAATAGTGCCCCATTGTTTGTGTCAGTGGGGGGGAGGAATAGTGCCCCATCGTTGGTGTCAGTGGGAGGAATAATGCCCCATCATTGGTATCAGTGACACCAATGATGGGGCACTATTCCTCCCACTGACACCAATTACACCTGTTTTAGTATGGTGCTGCTGCAGCCAGCATATGTGGTTGCAGCAGCACCTCTGCACGGCACACGTACCGGTCGCTCCTTCACTCGATTTTCGCAGGGCCGCTCGGCTCCGCCTCCTCGCCGATGATTGGCCGCCTGTGTGCCTTTCCTGAGCTACAGTTCTGGCGTCCAATCATGGGTGAGGAGGCGGAGCCGAACAGCTGCACGAACATCCAGTGGCCGAACCAAATGAAGGAGCAGCCGTGCTTCTTCGACCGGATCATCACGGGACCGGAGCCAGGTAAGAGACAGCAGCCCCTGCCCACCCCTGTACTTAATGTCCCTTCCGTCGGAAGGGGGGGGGGGCGGCGGCGGCACCGCGCCGCCCCCCCTAAAAAATGTCAGCATGCCGTATACCGGCGTATAAGACGACCCCCGACTTTTGAGAAGATTTTCAGGGGGTAAAAAGTCGTCTTATACCCTGGAAAATACGGTATGTAAAGCACTGTGCTAACTGACAGCACTCTATAAGCACCTATAATAAATAAATAAAATACATAAACACGCCTAATGTTTCTGTTGCTCTAAGTATCTTTCTCACACTTCCAGTATCAGTGGCAAGTGGTGAACGTAGTTTCTCAAAGCTCAAACCTATAAAAACTTACAAATATTCTATAATGTTGGAAAAGAGACTAGTTGGCTTGGTACTTGATCTGGTGGAATTGGTGAAAATATTTGCAAAGGAAACGGTACAAAAAGTGAGATTTTGATGTGTCTGAAATGGAAACTTTTATGAGACATTTTTAACTCTGTCTCTTTTTTTGTTTGCTTCTCTGTCTGACTTTAGGAAAAATATAGATAATTTATATTTGGTTAATATATATTTTACATTTAATATTGGTGCTGTTGGCATCTTATGGCATTTACTTTTGCAAATAAAAGACATTTAGCAGTTTCATGTTTTGTTGTTTTAATATTTCTACTCTTTTTAACAATTTTAACCTTTTATTTTTTTTTTGAGGGGGGTTGCAAGTAGCTGGTCTTGCCAAGGGCGCAAAATAATGATGTCAGCCGACCAGGCCCGGCGCTAGACTGAGTCAGTCCAGGCTCTGGAGAGATCCCAATGTTATCATCAGGATCTACCTCAGGGG